ATTTTAAATATTTAAAATAGGCTAAAAATAAATTTTTTATTTTAAATATCATTTTATTTTTAGAAAATACCCCTAATCATAGAGAACTCAAAAAGTAAGTTTTTATAGTTTTTTTGAGTTATATTTTGATTTTTAAAAATCATTTAAATGCCAAAAATGATGTTTATCTTTAAAAATCAAGTTAAGTTATCCAATGAACTCAAAATGTTTTGAAATTTTTATGGTGAGTTCTTTGGATCACAAATAACAGTGGGGATAAAAAATGAAGTCATTTAAATGTTTATATCTTTAAAAATTAATTTCTTTAATGATTTAGAGCTTATGAAAATTAAGTACATTTTAAATAACTTGGCCCACGAAATTATTTCCAAAAGCTCCTCTAGTCATGGTGGACCTTCCAAAATTTTCTAGGAATTTTCTATTCAACATGCTAATTTCCATGATTATTTTAAGCAGATAATGCACATAAACTTAAAAAAAGTGATCATCTGTCTAGAGACCTCATCTGGCTTTGGAAAAATTATAGAATGTTCTTCTTGACAGAGACTACAATATGCCAAAAATTCAAGCTATGATAATAAGTCTACATGCATGGAGAATCAAAAGATTCAAATCAATGTTTAATTAATTAAAAATAAAATATGCATCACATAGACATAAAATTATTTTCACATTATTCTCCTCTATTCACTGAGCAAGATGGTATCTTTATTTTATTTTTGTGATTTTTCTACACAAAATTATGGATTTTTAAAGTTAAGGGAGTTTAAATAAATAGAAAATGCCTTATTTTTCTACTTATCCACGCGACGCCTCGCCAACCTACGGCGGCTCTAAAGCTCCACACGGCGCTCTCCCATTTTATGTCGCTGTTCTTGCCAGCAGCCACACGTGCCACTATTTGTGTAAGGAAGCACTGTCCGACTTCATCTTGGCCGTCCATTCGATACACGCTTGATCAAATGGCTCCCCGTCATCGTCTCCGATAGAACGATCCCGTGACCGTCCACACTAAAACCCTAAGATCTCAGCCTAGACTTAACCAAATCGCTTCGGGTTTGATACTATGGACTCTTCCAAGTGAGGCGAACACATCCATATGGTAACCTTACAATTAAATTAAGCTTAATAAAATGGAGAATCAAAATAGGCTTGGGAGGGAGAGAAGTTTTATACCTTTGCTCTGAGAAGTGAAGCTTCAATCAAAGGGTTTTGGCACGCTTGTTAGGGTTTAAGGAGGCTAGGGATTAATCCTCTTGCTGTGGTGTAAAGCCTAGGTATAAATTTGATCAAGACCAGATTTGGGTGTTGATGTAGAGCTATGGTAGAGGCTCTGAGGAAGGGGGATTTTATGGGGCTTTGGCTTCTTTCACTATTGTGAAGGTGTGGGTAGAGTTAATTTGAGTTTGGTAGACTGTGGAGGTGTATTGTGCTCTGTCCTGGTTTTTGACAAGATTTCGAGCTCAAAGTTGAACTCTAGCAGTAGAAATTGGTGAGGGAAAATAATTAGAATGAATTAAGGGGATCTTAGGGAAGCTCTGTGGTCTGTTTAGACTCTAAGAAATTTTTAGTACTTAGTTCAACGACCATGGAGGTGGCCTTTTTTTAAAAATGGGGTTATGGTGGCTGTCTTGGCCAATTAGGAGGTGTAATGTGGTGCTTAGGTGGAGGGCAGAGGAGCTCTACAATTCAATTTGGCTGAGCTGGCCTCTATTGTTGGTTTGGGTGAAGCTCCATGGGGGTGGCTCTCAGTTTGGCCATTTTCTGG